TGCACGTTGGCAGAGTGTTCTTTACCTCTATGGAGTAGTGCAGGGCAGAGCTAGCTGGATGCAGCGACAGATTCTGGAAAGGTTTGATCTGAGGAGATTCCCAGCCGCCCTTCTCCGACCAGTTGATAGTCAACATGTGGTCGGAGAATTGTTTGCCGAAGAGCAGCGTGGAGGGCTCGGGTTTCGGCTTGCATTCTGTGTTGCGTTCAATGGTGAGACCTGCTGCCTGAGATGGAGACGGACAGGCGAGCCGGACAAGGGTGGAGAAAAAAGAAGGAGACGGACAAGAGCAGAGCAGGCGACGAAAACAGTGATTGTTTTTTTTAAATTGCTGTTATTGACACGGCATGCTCAAAAGGACAATTGGTGGTGGTTAAACATAGTCAGGTAAGGGTTAACAGATCATTTGGACACAATTAAACCGGTTAAATTAAACTGAATTAAATAATTACAACAGACACAGTGAGGGGAACACAGAAAAGGAAAGAAACTGTAAATAAAAAGCAACTCGACCAAGCTAAAGAGACAAATCCCTCTAATGAAAGTTACTTTCTTCTTTCTGTTATCATCATGTTCTCCATACCAAACCAGCCATTCACAGGCTCGCCAGACTGTAATTCAAGGTCTCACCTGGTGAAAAAAGAAAATGTTAACGTTTTCCTCATTACCTTAAAGGAGCTGGCGAACCGCAGCGAGCCAAAGGAAAAGGGGAAAGTCTGAAGAAGTCGTCCATGGAGTGCCTGCAAGGAAAGCATGATGAAACTCTTTGCGAGATGTGGCAGCTTTCTTTAAATACCCATTTAAAAAAGTTTCAAAATGTTAACAGATAACAGTTTAAGCTCTGATTTCCACAATCATTGATCCACGTTTGGGAACACACAGGAAGACTATGTGCAATATTGTTTTTTTTTTTCTAAGGGGTGTGTGTGTGACTCAGCACCAATCATATTGTCTGCACATTACAGAAGGAGACAGTCGTAAGAGCTGTAAATAGAATTAGATCACATGTGCAGGGTGCTCTCTGCAGAATTATATTATTATATTATTACTACAAGGGCTTCAAAATAAGAAGAAAGCAACAGCCAACCATAAAAGCTTATTTCATAAAAACATATCATTAGTTTAGGTACATAAATGATCAGTGCCACTCCTTAACTGGCTTTGTAGATCTTGGCATTCATACTTGGAGTTCAGGCAAGGTAACATGAGAAATCTAAAGGTAATTCAGCCCTGGGGTAAGACAGGTTGGGATATTATACTTTTACTTATTTAACCCGTATTAAGATCAACTATCCTGGCAGTTTAATACTTATGGAAGCAATCTTCTAATTAATCTCTTGAAATTTCACATTTTACTTTACCTTTCTTAATATGGTGCTGGGTTTCCCATATTTTAACTGATTTTAATTTTGCCAACTAAACAGCATGGCGTCTTTCATATATAGTCATCACACAAATGCCCCTCTGTGGTATGAAGCAGCAATTTGGAGCCCTGAGTAATTGAACCACTGGGAGTACATCTACAGCTTCCATAGACTAAATGGAAATAATTAGCCTGACAAGTTCAGGAAATAAAGAAAACAGAAATTACAATTTGACTGCTAAATCACAACTAGGAAAAAGTTGACCAGTTAGTAAATTATTGCGTTTAAAGTTAACAAGTGTGTTGAAATAAATGATTAAATATCAGTTAAATATTGCGTACGTAATTAATATACACAACTAGATTCTTTCTAACAATAAAAACAATGTTAAACAGTAGAAACATTTAGAAAAGTTGTTAAATATTTAAAAAAGCAGAATGGATACAGGGCTAAAACATCCAGGTTGTGCTTCTAAATGGTTTTAACTTTACCAAACTAATAAGTACTGGCCTGTTAATTGTATGCATGCAATTGAAACAACATTTAAAGTAGTTTAAAATCAAATTCCAATATTTGGTAGATGACAGCTGGCATTGATAAAGGGCCACAGGGCAGCTCACCTGACAGGCCAGTTCTGGCATGTTTGAAGGTCAAAGAGCTAAACCACTGACATTACAGACAGACAATATAATTATCACCTCGTGTCCATAATTTCTACACAATGGAGCCCAGGGAAGCATTTTGGCGGAAAGATGATGCAAGATTTGGTCTTTATTGCACAATGAGAGCTTAGCTATATTTTTTTCCCCGAGTTGATTTTTGCCACACACAAACCTGGTGAATTAAATATGTCTCTATTTCCCAAAGCAACATTTAGTTTCTTGTATTCACTTGTGGCATTTAATACAGCAGGAAAGTAACTTATTCTATTCATTCTACATGTAAAACACAAGAGTAATAACGTGGTAGCAATGTACACAGACACTTTGCATTTTCTGTAAATGTGCATCAACTAAAAGCCCTTTAATATTTAAGTCGACGCTCAAGACAGACTGACCAAAAACATGACGTCACGCATGAAAACCTCAAAGTTCCTAAGCAGAAACAAATGATCCCAAAAAACATACAATTTTTTCGTCTGTAAGTGAGCCGAATTTGTTAACCAGGTTTGAGATGAACAATTGCATCTTCTTAGTGTTTTTGGTGTGTTTTTATTTTGACCATAAGCAGAAGACATAAAATCTCCACATTTCTGCATTAAGTTAGGTCTTTTCCATGCTGTACAATTTTGCCACGCTCCGCGCTCGCGCGGAATTCTCCAGTAGCAGTGGGCCAGGATGGTTTACTGGCCTCTTATCTTCTTTAATGATTACCGGCTACCTTATCACCCATTAAGATTAATCATTTACCCACAACATCACAGCAACCTGGTGATAAACAGCACACAGACACTCAATCGACTCACCGTCCGGAGGGCTGCCATCTCCGCTACGCCAGTGATGATAAACAACTTTGTTAGTCCGTGTGGAAACAAACGCTCCACGTCTGCTTGCGTTCCGCTTTGAAATACGAGACCGTCTTGCTCTCCCTGAACCCAGAAGCGTCAGGACACGAGCAGCGTGTGCCGACTTTGAAATATTCAGGATCTTCTATTCAACCTTTCTACCAGTTTAATAATTCAGAAAAAATTACACGTCTCAGAAAAATGACACAACGATGTTAGTGTGTTAAAAAAAACAAAAACAAATCAAGGTAATAATTAGCTCAGCAGTTGTAGTAACCGGTTTTATTGGTCAGCAGTCTCATTCAGGAAGTCCTTGGAAGCATGAGGGGAGAGAAAAAAAGAAAAAACAAACAAACCTCTGATTGGGGTAAGCGAAAGCAGGTTATTATAGGTCAGAGAGGCAAGTGCTGATTGGCTAATCATAGGGGAGTGGTTCAGGTCCAGTTACAAGGTTAGGATGCCAAAATTTTAAGCTTTAAATGTTCAACTTCAAGCACCAAACTAGTTGAAATCAATTAATATAATTGCTTTCCTTATATCCAAAATTATTTAGTATTCATTTTAGTCATGTAACCAGCACATTTGCACATATCTCCGCCACAAGGACACTCAGGATTGTTAGGAGTGGATCTGACTCTTGAAGCCGTAGTTCAGTTCAGCTCCTCCACTGAGCAGCAGGTCAATCCCGGTGCAGAAAGTGGCCTCGGCAGCGAGATATAAAGCAGCCAGTCCACACTCAGCCTCAGTCCCCATTCGACCCATGAGCTGTTGGAGAAGAAAGTGTGTCACTTCTCATTCCTAGACTGCATATTTGTGGGTGCACTGGGTAAATTCCTTTTGTTTTTGTGCTTCTACAGGCCTGCAGCTGTTCCAGCTGTTGGTGCCTAGCTCACAAGTATTTGCCAAGAAGGAGAAGCTTTTCAAAAAACTCCTGTACGACTTCCCATGCAATGCCTCCCTCCCCTCAAAAAACTGGAGATTTCATAATTTCAGCTTTCTCAACTTATGAACAGGGAAAACTACAAACTTCCTAATGCGACAGAGGCTTAACAGAGGGTCTCCTATCCTCCATTATTTAGATAACAGGTGTAATAAAAGTGTGAAAATGACAGATCCTAATTTAACAAAACATGTAAACAACAACAACACTTAAAGAACTGAAACAAATTTATCTTTCACTCTTTTTCTATAAATGCGGAACTAAAAGGAGGTGTCTGTCTAGTTTTTCCTCTTGTATTGCGTCAGCTTCAAACAGCTTTTCTTGCCTGAAACAAAGGAAACCTCTAATGGAAAAAAATGCAGCCTGTTACACAAACTCGTTCAGCTGCGATCCAAGACTGAAGACTTCCTGACAGAGAGATTCCAGTGTGTGGCAGTTTAGTTTTGCTTTTTCCAGTATATCCAGTATTCCTCTTATGGGCATGTCCAAACCATCTCAGCCTTGCCTCTCAGACTTTGAGTTGTCCCTCTGATGTATTCATTTCTAATAATGTCCATCCTGGTAATTCCCGGTGAAAAATCTTAGCAACTTCCACTCTCTGTCCTGTTGCACTTTCGGCTTTCAAGCTCAATCTTTCTGCCTAGCGAACCGATAAAAGTCTCCTTCCTTAGTGTCCTGCCTCACATACAACTCACTAAAAGCCTTTTCCTCCTTTGCCACCTGTGTTTGCTGTACACCTAGCCTCCAAGTACTCCTATCAGCTGTCTTCATCTTCTTGACTATCCCGCTTTTTCTTTGCCAAACTCTTTGAATACTTTCCAATACTATTCCTCTCCCAAGTGTCCTTGTTTGCATTCCCTCATCACTTCAGCTTTCCCCGTCATCTGGTAACTCCTCCCTACCAGCCAGAGCTGTCGACATTCCTCTCTGAATTCTTTACATTTTTCCTTCTTCAACTTCCACCATTTGATCCTCGTCTCTATCTCATGCTGCCTAGCTACAATCTCCCATGACACCACCTTGCAGACTCTCATCTCTGTCAGAAACTTGCTCTGAAAAATATCCGTCTTCCTTCTCTCCTTCATATCAGCTAGCTCCTCACATTAAGCCCCTATCTCTGACCTCCACACTCCTGCCTTTCCCTCACTCACGCTGCCTTCTAACACACCTTCCTCCTCTCCTCTTCCATTGTTTTCAGGCAACAGTAGCACAGTTTCCACCAGCAGCCTGCTGACCAACAGCACCAGAGGCGTTCGCTGCCCTGATCCAATGTGGAGATTCTTTGTGATTTGATGATGGCACGGATCATTTTTATTACATTTTAATAACTTTTCATTAATGACTTTGCATAACTCAACTCTTCACTACTAACCAGCCCCCATAATCTGCACGGCTTCTGAACACCTTCCTGAACGTACCTGAGCATTTTCCCCCATTTTAATGGTGGCAGCTGCGTCTGGTGTCTGTGCTGCTAGTTGCTCCCACAGAGGTGTCATCACGTTACCTGGTGAAATGCTGCAACAAAAGCCAGACACTCCGATTAGAAAAAGAAAGGCATTATTAGATTAAAGGAAATGAAATTCATGCATTATGGACCTTCCATGTGTATGGACATGTGCAGGTATATATGTATGTATATCTATACATATGTATATTTAGTGTGTACATGTCTATAAACAGGAATAGTAGTGGTACAATAGCTATATCAAGCTATATAGTTTATGTCTTCCATATTTCCAACCATATCCATAATCACATACTGTGTATGCTACCATTGTATATAGTGTATTATCTTACTTTTTTCATTGATTGTACTTATTGTATTT